ATGAACAATTAAAAAGGGAAAGTACGAAAACAGTTTACAGGTGTCTAAATGAATAGAATACTTAGGCATTAATTTAACCAAAGAGGAGTCAGACTTGTATACTAAAACTGCAAATACTGATGAAAGATAATGAAGATGTAAATATATGGAAGGATATCCCATCTTCATAGATTGGAACAATTAATGCTGCTTCCCTAACAGTGCTACCCAAGCAATGTACCAAGTCAGTGCAGTCCCTATCAAAATCCTACTGGCTTTTGTTCTGTTTTGTTTTGCAGAAATGGATAAAACCATCCTAAAATTCATTTAAAATTACTAGGGACCCAGAATATCCAAAACAATCTTGAAAAAGAATAAAGTCAGAAGACTCACTCACACTTCCCAATTTCAGAACTTACTACAAAACAGCACAAGTAATCAAAACAGATAAAGGCATAACAATAGACATATAGAGCAATGGAAATAAACTGAGGGCCTGGAAATAAACCTTTGCATCTACGGAAAAATTGATTTTTTTATAAGGATGCTAAGATCATTCAATGAGAAAAAATAGATTTTTCAACAAATGTTTCTGAGACAACTGAGTATTTATATGCAAAAGAAGGAAGTTGTACCCTTAGCTTCACCATATACAAAAATTAACTCATAATTAGACCAAAGACCTAAATGTAAAAGCTATGGTTATAAAACCCTTAGAAGAAAACATAGAGCTTAAGTCTCATGACCTTGAGTTTGGCAGTGGTTTCTTAAATATGACACCAAGAGCATAGACAACAAAGAAAATAGGTAAATAAATGGGGCCTCACTACAAGTAAAAATTTGTGCTTCAGAAAACATTATCAAGAGAGTAAAAAGAGCCCACAAAATGGAGAAAATGTTTATAAATCATATACTCCATATGGATTTAATATTAGAATATAAAACCAGTATACAAAAATCAGTTGTATTTCTATTCACTAACAACTGCTACAAGTCAACTACTGAAAGACAACCAAATAAAAAAATGAGTAACGAATTTGAGTTATATTTCTCTGGAGAAGACATGCAAATGGCTAATAAACAGAGGAAAAGATAGTTCCTAATGTTAGTGTAGCTCCAGTGGCACAATCAGTGCACAGTACTTATATACAGCAGTACATGCCGAGCAATGCCGAGGTTGTGAGTTAATAATGTTAGTCGTTAGGGAAACTGCAAATGAAAACCACAATGAGATAACTTTTTTACACCCATTTCTTGGCCAAGATGAGAAGAAATTGGTACATTGCTGGTGGGGATGCAAAATGATGAAGCCTCTATAGAAAACAATTCAACAGTTCTTTGAAAAAGTAAAAATAGAATTGCCATGTATTTGGCCCGTACATATCTCCTGAAAACAAGGAGTCAGACGTCATTGTATGCCAGTGTTCATCACAGCATTATTGACAGTGACTAAAAGGTGGAAACAATCCAAGTGTCTTATCTACAGATGAATAAATAAAATGCATGATAATGTATATTCACCCACAGAAAGAAATGAAGTTCTGATATGAGCTACAGCGTGGATGAACCTCGTAGGCATTGTGCTAAGGCAAATAGGCCACACACAAGAAAGACAAAGATTGTATAATTTCATTTATATAAAATATTAACAATAAGCAAATTTATGAAGGCAGAAAATAGACTAGTGGTTAGCAGGGGCTGGGAGAAGGGGTGGGAGTCGCTACTCAATTAGTACAGAGTTTCTGG